GATGTATTTTCATTGTTACAAATTGAACATAATTAAAGCATAGTGATTAATCACAAAAACAACATGTAATTACATGTGTTTTCTGATGGTCTTAGGCGACCCCTGTGAAAGGGTCGTTCGGCCCCCAAAGGGGTCGAGACCCACAGGCTGAGAACCGCTGGGACCCTTGGAGACTGCAGATACCATCTAAGGCACACGCGTGCGCGGGCATACACACATACACAGGCACACTCAAAGGCAGGTTAGCCTCTCAGCTTAGCCCAGAAAACGCCAGAGAATCCACATAAATGAGCTGGAGAGAGGAGGCAGCCAAGGATCGTCCTTGCCGGGCCCATTCCCAGCTGTCCCTGAAGCCCCAGCAGGATGACAGGCGGGCGCGGTCTGTCATCTTTGAGTCCCTGGAAGCAGATTCCCGGAAGGTCCGGACCAGGGAGCGCACGAGCGGGCTCGGAGCAAGCCTACTCTTGGGCCCCCCCAGCCTAAAGGTGTGAATATTGCGCAGGGCCCACGGGGTCCCAGGAAGAAGCCAGGAGGGGCAAAGGAAAGGGGCCGGACGGATGGGGACCCCATTTGCGGGACAGTGGTGCCTGATCTGCCCCGCGCCCCTAGGAGCTTCCCTCTGGGCCGCTCTGGAGCCGCCTGCGCCAGCCTTGTGCCTTGGGGCGCCTCATCTGGGAGTGCGGCACTCCCAGGTCCCTCTGGAGGGCAGAGCTCCACAGTCCTACAGAAGGGCTTTGTGGTGTAGACCACCAACCATTAGAATGACAAGGCCCCCAAACCCGGCTGCGGAGCATCCAGAGCAGGCGAACTGCAAGAGCCGAAGCTCAGGGAAGGTCTCCGGCCATCAGTGGGCAAATCCTTTTGTTCTTTCACTCAACTAGATGTGCAAGTCACAGAGCGGACCGAGGTGGCTGCAGACAACCACCAGTCTCCTTCTGGCAGTCACCAAGTGCTGCCACCGCCACCGGGCCATGAGGGGAGGAGAAGGGGAAAGGGGGGGAGGAGAGAGAAGGGGGGAGGGGGAGGAGGAGCAAGGGGCTGTGGGAGGAGAAGCCCTTGTTGACTGGAGCACTAGCTTCCATTCGGCGTACAGTAAATGTGCCAGGCGCTTCAGATAGACAGACGGCCCCCAGACCATGGCGTGCACGACCCGTGTGTAATGAACCATGAGTAGCCCGGCTCTGTTTTCCCCAATGGCTTTCCAAAGCCCTTCGTCTTCAAACCTAAACCAGCTGGCCTAGGGTCCACTTCAGCTTCCTGGAAGCTGCCCTCCTCATCTACATGTGTGATTATTAAGGGCAAAGATCCCGGGAAAATGGTCCTCTCTGGACGCGCAAAGGGCACAGGAGAGGCCAAAGCCACGCCGCAGATGGCTTCCAATCTGAGCGCCTTCCAGGACTTTCCGCGGGTGTCCTGCCCTGGCGTCCCCCAAACGCTTCGCTGGCTCAGTGTTAAAGCCGATGACAAAATCCTCCCGGTAGCTGGGACTGACCCTCAAAACACACCATAGAACCCCTTAGACTGATTACTTGAGCAAATGAAACAACACAGGTGTGATGGTGAGTCCTCAACCTCTGGCAAATGTAAAAAGGTGGCCTTTTCTGCGAAGACCCTGTCTCTTTGTAAATGGATCTGTTTCCTAAGTCTACAGGGGAAAGGGAAAGTAAGGGGCTGTCAGTCATTCTTCCAGGCTCCAAACTAACAGGCAATGAGAGGAGAAACGCAGAATCTCTCTCGCCCCCAGCACGCCGCCAGTGTCTCTAGACCTGATGCCCAGTTGCTTGCAACACGTTCCCAGCCCTATAGAAAGAGTAAAATCCTTGACTGAGCTCCCTTCACCCTCGCCAGTCCCAGGGAGAGGCAATCCGGCTTTCGATCCCTTTAAAAACCTGAAAGGGCCGGCGCCTGTTGGGAGGGACAGGGTCTTGGTCGCCTGTGGTGTCAGCCTCCAACACTTCTGTTGTAGGGGCTTTTGTGGAAGTAAAAGAAAGTAAGCAACTTCGGGGCACTGTTTTCCTGAACCTCTCCCGCCACAGTTCTGTCTGGGATATGGGGAGAGATGGCCTCAGTGCCTTCTGGCTGCACCGGGAGTGTCTGCGCATCTGGGGACGGGGGAGCAGGGGGCTCCAGTAAGGTCCCGCGCTGGCTGGGAAGGGGTCTGCCACCCCACCGCTTTCCAGCCAGATCTGCATCCTTGTGTACCAGTGCGCACTCCACGAAAGAAACTCCACAGGTGCCTAAATCCAACCGTCTCCAGCACACGCCTATCGGTCCCCGGACTCTGCAGCTGGACCTTTAGGAGAGCCCGACAGTGCGCCCCGGCGCGGGAAGGGAGAGGGGCCCGGCTGACGGTGCGTGTCTGCCACCGCTGGCCCCGAGACCGCGGCGCGGGCTTCCCGAAGAGAGTCCCAGAACACTGGAACCCTTAACTGAGGATTGCC